ACTAATTCAAGATATAAATTCTACTGCGAAGTGAGAGGTGTTTCTCTTGCGAGTGGCCAAGTGTTTCTCCTGGAGTCTCTGCGGTTTCCCTCGACGAAGACTCCTATTTTCCTAAAAACACCCTGATTGGTGATTTTTCCTTTTCTAGATCACCAATCAGTTTACTCCGGTGCATCGCAACCTCCCTCCATTTCGCCCTTAGCGCGTTATCTTAGGGTGGGGTGTACGGTGGACGGATGCGTGGGAATCCTGTGGAATCTCCGCTTTTCTAGACTTCGTTAAAGTCAAGTTCGGAGATTCCAGGATTTATGGCAGGGTCTGGTCCTAGGGACTATCGTCGAAGTCACTCCGGAGATTTTTTAAAGTGCTTTATTTATAATAATATTGTTACAAAGTGAAGTTGTGGTTCCTTAGATTTTAAACGTAAGACTAAACTTCCCTTGTTTGGGCCCAGTATTTATATGGGGCCCTACTGGAGGGGATGGACGCTGTGGCATGCGCGTGGGGTGGGGAAATTTCGGAAGAGGACTCGGAAAATCGCGATATCGGGAAAAGTCATCTTGGCGTCGGTCTGGAATGCAGGGAAGGTGTCCTAATGGATCGGGCGAATTTTTAAGGAGATGTGTATCATAGGACAAGGAAAATCCATTCGCCAACCACAGGTCGGGTGCCGCCTACCGCGACAGGACTAAGTGTCGCAGGCAACGTAATAAACACTTGTGGTGTTTTGAGGAAACGATATTTGCCTGCGACGGCGACCACTTGACTCGTTGCCATAAATCCGGCTACAGGATACGCCTTAACAATAGAAGAAATTGATTTATCGCAAGATGCAATTCTTCCTTCTTACGAGTTCTTTAAAAATTTAGACTTCTTCCGTCCGTATCGTGATAAATAAATAAAAGTTAACGTTACACAACAAGATTACACTTTTGCAGCTGATTGATTATTCGTATAGAGATATAGCCTCGCTAGCAACCATTACTATAATAATAAAGGGTAATCGCAATGAAAGGATTATATAACTCTACTATACATCAGAATTATAAAAGTTGTCTTGTGAAATGTAGCGATAGCGAACTTCGAATAGCGAACCTTCCTTGTGCGTAATAAAGAATATGGTTTAAAATAAGAACATAATAAGAACATAATCCAATAAAAATTTGCATGCGAGTGAAAAATTGTAAACTTCACTGTGACCGATTCAATAAGTACAATTTTCTCTTTGTCAAAACTTCTGAGCCACGATTGTCCCACATCTCGAACAAAGTGCATGTTACTCAGTTATGCTAATTTTGCTAATTATTACCTAGCCTGATTGCTAAATTGCCTGAGTGTAACTCAATGACTATTTCTGACTCTTAACTGAATGTTTATCACTGACTGACTGACTGATTGTACCTCACTGGCCGACTGAATGTTTC